TTTTCTATGAGAATGCACATGTTTCTAGAAAGTATTTATAATTCTGCCAATCCACAGAATGCTAATATAAAAGACAATTCATAATTGCTTCTTAGTTTTCACTAAAAATTAAGGCTTCAAAGGGTTAAGAATTCTAATCAATATAGGTGACTAAAGCTACTAAAAATTAGTAAGGGAAACATTTCTGTATACAAGGAAAGTAAGATGTACATTTTCAGTAAAAAAGGTATAAGGAAGGGAGAAATTTCTGCTTGTTTTGCTAAGAAAGTAAATTGTCCTCAAGTACTAGGAAGGAGGAAAGGTGTGGGACAAATTCTGAATGTGAAAAAGAAAGTTATAAAAGGTCTGTGGAAGACAAACCCTGAGGAAAGAGTTTTGTCCTTGGTCTAGTTGACTAAGATTGAAATGAATTAAGTAGATGAGTTTTAATATCAAAAGTAAGCTAGTGAAAAATTAAAATTTGGTTTTCTCTCTCTTAAAAAGACAGTTTTCTTGAACTTTTAGTCTGTTCTTGATAAAGAGATTATGACGGGTTTTTTTTTCAGCTTTGAGTAGCCTACCAAAAAGTCAGGGATTCTATGTTTTATCAAAATAAATTTCCTGTACTGTTTTTATCAGGTCTTTAATCACAAGAGTTAATGGTTTTCTTACAACTATTTAAATTTCTGTATTTGCCTGAAAATCTTTTACTGTCACTTTGGTTAAACAGATAATTAAGTACTGTTTCATACTGATCTATGATCCTATTTGACCAAGCATTCTAAAATCTTTTGATATTTTTGACAAAGCTACCAAAATTCAAATTTTTTTAAAAAGTCTTTCTTTTGATCTGAAAGTAACTTGGAGAATTTCCAGCAGGCCCCTGGGACTTCTCAAAGAATATGACCACTCTTCTTATAAAGAGGGAAATACTAAACTACTTAGGCTTGTTTGGTATGTTAAATTACATGGGAAACATTGTCAAATAAGTGATGATGAGCCTCCTTTATGGATATCTTGCATGCATATATGTTATTAGCATAAGCATTTTAGAAATTATGTGAAATTTTAAAAATTTCTAGTATGTCCTGGCAGAATGTTATCACTTGCAATTCTAGTTATCTTAAAATGTTATATGTCACATAAATAACCAAACTTCCTTGTCAATTGCATTATAATTTTAAGTCTTTTATCATCTATAGATAGTTATTGTTTATTCTGATGCTTTTGCAAATATGTTTTCTTCTCAGAGAGATTCATGGCAAGGCCTCTGACACTCTAGAATACAGGTTTCTGATAAACTGTCAGATCATAAAACTGAATTGGGTAAGAAATTACAGAACTGTAATGGAGAAACTGATGGCTTCATATAACTGCTAACAAAAGATCAAGAACTGATTACGTGGGACTACGTGAACCAAGGAGGATGCTCTAACATTTTATTTTTCCAGATTTAATGAAATCTTTTCTCTTAAGCTATCAAAAATTTGGTAAGATATACCTTTGTGAACAAATATGAAACATTTACTTTTCTCCCTACCTGATCCCTTTAGAATCAGAAACTCTTAGTGAGCATTCTTATTTTCACTTAAATAATCAGGCCAAGTTTTTTTTGTTTTTGTTTGTTCGTTCATTTGAGGAAGATTAGCTGTGAGCTAACATTCACTGCCAATCCTCCTCTTTTTGCTGAGGAAGACTAGCTCTGAGCTAACATCTGTGCCCATCTTCCTCTACTTGATATGTAGCACACCTGCCACAGCGTGGCTTGATAAGTGGTGTGTAGGTCCACACCTGGGATCCAAACTGGTGAACCCTGGGCCACCAAAGCAGAGCACACAAACTCAACAGTTACACCACTGGGCCAGCCCCAGGCCAAGTTTCTAATATAAACAAATTAGTTTTACCATGATTAACTTTGGTTAAAAAAAAAAAAATGATGGTAATTGTGGAGAGAGAAATTATGTTACACCTTTGTAGATGCTGGATTCTAGACCTATTAACTGTATTTAAGGTTTTGTTACATACCTATAGACTGGCCTCAGGTATTGCCTTTAGTCTTGCAGTGCCCTCTTTAGAAAACATGAACTGACACCACATGGGATGGTCACTAGCAGGATCAGTGTCTCTTGGTATGCTACTCATGCTACTGTGACCAGCTACTGTAAGTCTCTGATGTCTTATGCTCAAGCCTACCATCAACAGGTTAAGGAAGCTTTCCTGGATTCTAATTTAAAGAATGCTATTGGTCAGAGTCTGGAGCCTGCTGTCTGCATATTCTGGATATGAGACCAGAAGAAGACAGCCCTAGAGCCCCACTGGAAAGGACCTTATGAAGTGCTCCTAACTACTGACACTGCTGCAGAACTAGAAGGCAGTGAACCTTGGAGATACATCTCACATTTAAAAAGGTCTGCACCTGACATCTGGTCCTGTACAAACACTGGAGGCTTCCAAATCAAACTGACTAGGAAAAGAAGCTGCCAACATCTGAGGCAGATCGCTTTCCCAAGATGGCCAGACCAGGCCTGCATACCTTTCATTTGCTGTTGTTTCTTACCTCATTTTCTCCTTCTCTTTCTTGGAAAGACAATACTATTATCCACATCTCCCAACCTATCACAAAAGGTGGAAATCTTTCTGACTGTTGGGTTTCTCATCAAAAGCCTCATTCTGTCCACGAATCTAGAGAATCCTCTAGTACATTTAATTAACAATCTCTCTTCCATTCCTCCCCTGATTCATTGTACTAAGTGTCTAGAACTTCTCATCTAACTAATCAAACCTCCAGAGATTTAAGAGGTGACATTTGTAACTGTTGTAAATACCTCATTTTACTTGGGTGAACACCTCTGGAAAGGCAGAAACAGAAGCAGACAGAATATGGGCACAAGCCAAATGGTTAAATGCAGTGCCCACTGACACCCTGTGGTTCTTGGATCTCTAGAGCTGGCTGCCCTCAGACACTGCCTCCTGGTTCAGGTCTATTCCCCAATTTGGACTTAGTATTTTGTTTACTATTTTAGAATTCTTGTTGTTGTAAAACTTTGTCTCCTCTGTGTAGCCTGACATTATAAAAACACCAGTTGGGTACTGATCACTCAGCACTTTGACCTGATTACTAGGGCTTGTGAAACTCAACATGAGAAACTTCAAGGAACTGAGAAGATATTTACCCTTAAAGGAACTTAATTGGTAGAGCCTTTCTCTGCCCTGGAACTCTTGTTGCTCAAATGTGGCCTAATGGGTCCTAAGGAAAGCACTTTCCCTTTTATGTGGAACATGACACACCAGGAATGAGCCTTCATGGCAACAAGGGACCAATGCTCCTGTGACAGCTGATCAGCAATGCTTTCCAATAGTAGATCAGTGATGCTTTCAGAGAAAGATTTTGATCAAAAGGGGGAAAATGTGAAAGATGACATGAGCGGAGCCATATTAAAATAGAGCTAGAGCAGCCACTTCAGAGGAACTGCTTTGCACGTCTTGTTTTCTTTACCTTCCAACCTGGACCAAACCACCAACATTCCAAAGAAGTCAGTAAGGGACAAGGTTACCTTACCTGTTGGACTGATGGAATTGGACTCTGCTGATGACTGGATCACTAACCAATCAACAAAGGACAAGTTTAGCCTTTTGCCTAATGATCGAACCTCTGGCCAATCTATGAAATACCAATCTAGCCTTACCTCATGGAGCACCAATGAACTCTTCTTTAATACAACTTACCTCATCCTCCCTTTTTCCCATAAAAACCCTAGGCCCCTCTCCTCTAAATGGGACACTATTTGGGTTTCTACCTGAACCTGTGCTCCCCAAAATGCAACTGTTTGATCCCAAATATACATTCTGCCTCTTAAACTGGTTTCTGTTTTTGTAGGTTGACAGAACCATTTTTTAAAAATGAGGAAAAAAGGGAGTATTTGTCACATTTCAGGAAGGGACAGGATCTTCTAAACACAAAAACAATTAGAGAAATCAAAGGGAGACGAAGACTGGACAACATAAAAATGTAAAAATTCTGTAAATCAAAAAAACAAATAAAATTAAAAAGCAAAATAACAACTAGAAAAACATATTTACAAAAATCAAATACAATGCTGCTGTGCTTCACACATAAAGTAAGATCACATAATTCAATATGAAGAAAAACGAGGGGTAAGGGGCAATGAAACACATAAAGAAGATCTATGCTTAGGTCTTTTATACATTTTATAAGTTAAAATTCAAAGTCCTACCTCACTAAAAATTTTGAGAAAATGGCAGAGCCAAGATTGGAAGGCAGGTCATTTAGCTTCCAAGCAATATACCATATCGCCTAGAGTAAGTAACTCATTATTTTTTTTTTAAACCACATTAATGTTAAAGTTTGCACTTGACAAAAGAGTTTTTCCCCCTTTTATCATACATTTTGAAAGGACTAAAGAAACTAATAGCAAATAAATAAAAAGAAACTACAGCTTTTTTTAGGTTTTAAATGGAGGTTGAATTCTTCTGACATATCTAGATGAACCAAAATTCTCTCGAATAAAGTTAAACGAAAATGTATTTATCAAAATCATTCTAAGTATAAAAACTGCTTCTTGATTAAGTAAAACAGAAAAGCCATTCACTACTAATGAAGAATAACAATGGTAAGTAAAATCTGATTTTCTGATTTTATTAAGGACTTAAATGGTTTACTGGAGGAATATGCAAATTACAAAAGAAACTAAGAAAAGAAAAATGTAAAAATACAGTACAGTAAAACATTAAAACAGGGGCTGGCCCTGTGGCCGAGTGGTTAAGTTCGCGCGCTCTGCTGCAGGCGGCCCAGTGTTTCGTTGGTTCGAATCCTGGGCGCAGACATGGCACTGCTCATCAAACCACGCTGAGGCAGCGTCCCACATGCCACAACTAGAAGGACCCACAACGAAGAATATACAACTATGTACTGGGGGACTTTGGGGAGAAAAAGGAAAAAAATAAAATCTAAAAAAAAATTAAAACATTACCTGTGATTACACGAAGCAATAAATACTAACCATGAATGAGGGAGCCATTCAGCCACTGAATGTAGTAGTTCTGAGGAAAGGAGAGCAGGATCTCATTGCTGATGATGGAGAAGGGGAGGAGCAGCACAGCGCCGGCGGAAACCGCTAGGGTGAAGGTGCTCAAAGACAGCCTGCAAGAGAAGGGCCGCGTCAACCGGGGGCAGGGAAGACGGAGGGGGCTCAAACAGGACAGGCACTCTCACGCTTATGCTTACTGTGTAATCCAAAAGGAATTACATAAGAATTTCATTAACTACATGTAGTTGGGGGCAGGGAAGACGGAGGGGCTCAAACAGGACAGGCACTCTCACGCTTATGCTTACTGTTTAATCCAAAAGGAATTACATAAGAATTTATTAACTACATGTAGTTGGGGGGCAAACGATATACATACGACCCCAGAAGTTTAACTAGATGAACTCTAAGACTCCTTACTCTGAAAATATCATTTAGGCTAATGAGCAGGCCCTAAAAGACAGATGTACTGAAGACAGAATACTTGACACACTTTACAAAGAATAAATTGTAGCCTCATTCCTCTTTTAACTGTAAGCATTTATTTCACAATTGCATTTAATTAGCAACTCTGGCAATATGTGCTAACAGCAATGCAACAACTGCTTCAGGTGAAAACAATACTGGTGAAAGCAGTATGAAAAACAAATTAATTTAAAATGGTTGTTTCAGGGGAAAAAACTTACAAAGCCATTGCCCTGCTACCTCTTAAAATGGGTAAAGGTTAAACAAATTATATCAGGAAACAGTGGAGAACTATTAAACAATATTTAAAACACTGTTTTGTCATTTTTTAAAATAAGATCTCTCTAATATGTACTAATATGGAAAGATGTCTAAAATAAATTAAGTCAAAAAAGCAAACTGAAGAAAAGCATAGACAATAAACACAAAACATGCTCTCCTCCCCCCACCAAAAACATGCATATATACACACAGGAAAATAGAGGTACAAGAAAAATCTAGCATAATATATGACAATCCTATAAGAGAATGGGATTATAAGGGGCTTTCACTTTCTCAGTTATATATGTCTGATGTGTCTAAAATGTTATATCTAATTTTTTTAAAGATTTTAAAAAGACTAACATGGCAAAGGAAAAGTGAACCTGATTAATACTAGAGATGTAACCTTAATTCAATATCCATCCATTAAAATTAATATAGGAAGAGTGAAATAAATGTAAGAAGAGGCAAGAAAAATCACACTAAATGCTCAAAATACACATCTGGTAGAGTAACTTTGAGGCCAATGCCATCTTGTGGCAAACAATAGAAGTGTTTTCCTAACTTAAAGGCCAAAAACAACCATGAAACCTCCTCTGTTCAGTAAATCACTGATAAATATTTAAATGCAGACCATATGATACATACCAAAAATACAATTCGAATCAGACCTGGGTGAAGTCCATAACTGGTTTTCCTGAATGGACAACCTGTACCCTGGGAAAAGCACTAGGACAAGTCTTTGTGTCAAGTCCACTGTCAACTCTGGCAGTGCCCAGCCAGTGACCTCAGAGAGCTTCTTTACTTTTGTCCTCGAAAGTCAAACGATGCAGTTATCCTGATCACTCCCACTCCTTCCTTCCAATGCTAAAAGGAAGATCAAATCCACAATCTCACGATTCCAGGTCCTGCACAGCCATCCCAATACACTTTTCCAGGCTCCTCTCTCACCATGACAGGCTCCCACACACAGACTTACCTAACTTCCTCACACTTCCAACGTCCATGGGTTTTATGGCTCAGTAGGCACAGCTGGTTCTCTCCCTAGGGTCCCCCTGTAGGTCACTTGCCCTGTGAAGCATTCCTCAGCATCTCCCTTCTCGCTCCTCTCAGTAAAGTCAGTCCCTCTCCTCCCGGCTATCGTGACACTCTGACCACATACCCAGCAATGAATGCCAACCACAACTTCCAAATCAAACACTGAGACCTATAATGTGACAAAGGAGTAAGCTTATAATGGCAAACAGATGAAGTATTTGAAATTACAAGTGACCCAGAAAATCCTGAACATATGATCACCATAACTATAACGTTGGCTCTTTCAACAAAAAACTTTTAGAATCTATTGCATTTCAGGTATTGTGATTGGCCCTAGAGATACAAAAAAGATAATACCATACTCCTAACCGCCCTTGAGCAGCTATGAAGAGAGCTATTCATAAAAGATTGCTGTGATGGAGTTAAATGCTTGGCAAGGGGACCTTATGTAAGGCCAAGTCAATTGGAAAAAAGGTAGTAGTGGTCACTGCTCAGAAAACTAGAGAAAAGTACCCCTCAGAATTGAAGGGCAGTTCCAGAAATGTCGCCTTCTGAAATGGACTTCCTGGTATGGGGTGAAAGAGAAGGGTCTGAGCTTTCAACCTGAGAGTGGGAATGGTGGAGGTGACATCAACCGTGATGGAGAAGGCTGCGGTTGGAGCAGGCTGGAGGGGAAACAAGGAATTCAGCTGTGGACATATGGGTTAGACATGTCCATGAGGCAGGAATGTCACAGAAGTGACACTTCATACTTCTCTGCAGGCTACCAGGTGGCCTAGGACTTCTGTCTGCCCCATTACTGGTCATGTTCTCTCTGAGCACTGGTCACAGTGCTGTCTGCCAGGACTCTCCATCTAAAGTTACTCTTCCAATTTTTTTTTTTTTTTTTGAGGAAGATTAGCCCTGAGCTAACATCTGCTGCCAATCCTCCTCTTTTTGCTGAGGAAGACTGGCTCTGAGCTAAGATCCGTGCCCATCTTTCTCTACTTTATATGTGGGACGACTGCCACAGCAGGGCTTGCCAAGCGGTGCCATGTCAGCACCCGGGATCCAAGCCAGCAAACCATGGGCCACCGAAGCGTAACATGTGAACTTAACTGCTGCACCACCGGGCCGGCCCCACTCTTCCCTTTAATTAGCAAGTGTTTTGTGGGAAGCTAAGTGTGAAACTAGGAAAATATCCTGTTACTTGTCACATAATTTATTCACATTGACTTCTGTCAGTTGGACTCAAGATTTTCTATTTATTCTGTGTAGGATCCATTACAATCATTGTTTTGATGCTGAGATTGCCCTGGATTTAGCTGAAAGCCCTTGAAGGCTTCTGTGTCTTTTTGACATGCCTCCCCCACATCCCTACCCCATCATTCTTTGAGCACTTTCCTGTATTCTGGCACTACAAGATGTACAAAATGAGCCTGGAACTTTCCCTATCCTAGCCCTGCAATCAGCCTTTTCCCCAAGGAGCCCTGGTTCCTTTCAGTGGAAAACTGTATTTAGAAGCGAAGTTTGGGGTGCTAAATATACTCAGTGCTACTGGGGTGCCATGCTCCCAGGTGCTCTCAGCGGACAGGCAAAGCTAGGGAATATAAGCCTGCACTATGCATACCTGTACATACACGTATCCACATTCACATCCAGATCTGATTCGATAACTTTCTCTATATTGAAAACCAGGTATGCACACTGATACCTCCAAGTCCAATGCATCAACTCAGTGTTCATTTTCGTTTTCTCCCTCTCCCCTAACTGTAACTGGCTCCCATTATCTTTAATGGACCAATCTCCCATATGTGATCAGTCTCCCAACACTCCCACCCTATGCAGAGGTGCGCTCTTGCTCAGGTGACTTCCCAGACACCCTCCCTCCCCACCTCTTGACACCTCATGCCAGGCCATCCCTCTGGGGACACCCTCCTTAGTCTACTTGGGCTCTGCCATCCTGCAAGAATGCTGTCCCCACCCTGCATTAGCTCTGACTCCCTATAGCAGAGCACCCCCTACCTCGTGCCAGGCGACAACCCCTTAGGACAACAACCCATGCCAGTATTTCACCCTGCAGGGAAACTTCCCTCCCTCCTCTCAGATCCTCAGAGCCCACACCAGGTTACCCGCCGGGCTCTGACGCCTGTGCCACGTCTCCCTCCTGCATGGAAACCCTCCTCCCTTGCTCAGGCTCATAAGCCATCCTTAAAAGCAGTTTCAACAGTTAGGCACTGTATTTCTATACCAATTACTTTAACCCAAATAAAATCAAATAACTAGCTGAGAGTAGCTCTCAGAAAATGTAATTTTTGGTTGGGAAAGGTAGAGGGGTTATTTTGGCAGCATAAGTAGATACAAAGAAAGGACAGAACGAAGGCACTCGAGGAGCAAGAGAGAAACCAAAGGTGGATTCTAAAAGGGAGGTGAGAGAGGTTAAGGAAAAGACTTCTCAGTCTGACGTGGGTGCTTGAGTCAGCTGTGGAGAAGCATCTCTCACGTGGCCACACGGTGCTCGCAGTCACCTACACTCAGGAACTTGGCTGAACTCGCTCTGAAGACTGAGCACTTCCACTTTTTTCTCCTCGTCAAGCACAGCCTTGCATTCTTTCTTCCCCTTCAGTGCCCCCAACAACTCCCTTCAGTGGGAGGAGGTAAGGGGAAGGAAAGAGGGTTAGGCGAGAAGGGAGACAACACCGAATTCACACCTGCTATGCACCAAGCACCCTACCCTAAGTAATTTTTTTTCTTGTTATTTAATCCACACAACAGCACTAAAAGGAGGTGGTAGCTGTAGTTCACATATGGAGAAAATGAATCTTTGCTTCTCAATCTCTTCTGGATTCAAGCTAATCTTGAGTTCAGAATTTGATCCCAGATCTGCCTAACTCTTCAGTTCTCACTCATTCTATCACAGCAGGAAAAAAGGCAGTGAAAGACAAAGAGACCACTGGGTGGGGGGGTTAGGGGGACGGACCAGGTCAGATTCATTCTCTCAGGTGCCCTTCTCCTCCAGGTTTCCCCCTCCTGACTTTACTGTAAGTGACACCCAACTACCTTCAGGAAGAAGAGGTCTGTGTGTGCCACCATGATGCAGAAACCACCTGCTGGGAAAACCCAGACCCCTTGGACATGCCTCGCCAGCCCATGTGAAAGCAGGTAAAGCAGGCAGGGCCTCTGCTGAGCACTGCCACAAGGAAACAGCCATATTTTCATAAAATGCACTGCCAAGGGTAAAAAGCCAAAGTGATGTGTTCTTGTCTATTTATAAATTATTGATCTACAAATGCATTTAAGTAGATTTACCACCAAAAGTGGAACACAGACTAAATGGAGAGGAAAGAGGCACATATCTCACAGGCACTTCATATCTAGAGGTTTCACTGAGAAAGAATTAATATCTGCCCTTTAGTCAGTCGGTGATTCACTATGGCTTTCAGAGGTAAGTGAAGTGAATTATTCTGTTTCCACAGGAGCAGTAATTTTGACAGAGAAAAATGATTCACTTAAGAATTTTCACAAATGTCATGGTGCTAGGAATACAACTAAGACCCCTAATCCTGTAAATTTAAACCAAGTTATTTAAACCAAGTTATCCTGTAAGTTTTAAACCCACAGAGCAAGATTTCCCAGTATGAAGTTACAGTTGTTTTCCCTAGGGCATTTAAAATAATTTATATTACCCAATCTAGTAAAGCAGAGTCCATTTATATTCATTTTTCAGTTGTAAATCAAATCTGCCCTACTGAAGTCATTTATTTCTTCAAAGTTTTTATTTTTTGAGGTGAAATTCACATAAAATAAAGCATCTTAAAGTGAGCAATTCAGTAGCATTTAGTGCATTCACAGTGTTGAGCAACCACCATCTCTTTCTAGTTCCAGAACCTTTTCATCACCCCAAAACAAAACTTCATATCCATTAAGCACTTGCTCCCCATTCTCCCCTCCCCTCAGCTCCTGGTAACCATCAGTCTGCTCTTGATGAGTTTACCTATTCCGAATTTCTCATAAATGGAATCACACACTATGTGACCTTTTCATCTGGCTTCTTTCACTTAGCATAATGTTTTTGAGGTTCAACCATGCTGTGGCAAATGTCAGTACTTCACTCCTTTTTATGGCTGAATAATATTGCAGTGCACGTGAAAGCATGCATGCAGGTGTGCGGGTGTGTATAAGTGCGTGTGAGTACATGCAGTCTCTCTTTCCCTCCTCCCCTTTCCTCACCTCCTGTCTCCTGCCCCTGAGCAAAAGATGCAGAATCTAACACTAATCATGAAGAAACATCAGACAGAGCCAAATAACTGGCCTGTAGTCTTCAAAAGTATCAAGGTCAGGGAAGTCAAGGAAATACTGAAGACGTATTTCAGTCTGCCAGCAACTAAAGGGAGGTGACAACTACCTGCAGTGTGTGATTCCAAACTGGATCCTTTTGCTACAAAGGACATTATTGGGACAACTGGTAAATTGGAATGGGGCATGAGTGGTACTGTATAAACGATGATTTCATGATGTTGATGGTTGTATGGTAGATTCATAGGAGAATGCACTATTTATAGGAATTATTTTGCAACCATCCTGAGGAAAGGGAACATCAGGTCAGCAACTTCTCAAACAGTTCAGATAAAAAAAGGCTCTTTGAATTACACTTCCAACTTTTCTATAAATTTGGGACTCTTTCAAAAAATTTTTAAAGTATCAACCAAAAATTCCTGGAATACAAACACTCTCCTATGTAGGTATATATCTACATAATTTCAAACTTTAATCAACCAAAATCTGATAGAAAGGAATTCATTGGTTTCCATCCAGTTTGATACCTCAAAAAAATTAAAGAGTATTTCTATCACATATCATCAGCATACATAAGTAGAATGAGAGCAATAAGGTACCTAAAAAGACTGTCTGGGTCCCTCTCCCTGTCCCAAGACCATCACGGTCTTCCCAGTAGACCACCCAAATAGCTGCGAGCTTTCTTTTTATGGCTCAGCAATTTTCCCAACCTTGAGCCTATTTCCTGACTAAATCCTCTGAAGATAAAATCTGTTGGCTCCTTAAATAAGCAAATTTTAACAGGAGATAATCAATCCTCAATTATTCATGTATATTTGGTTATGTGTGCTTTCTGAGCACAGGATTAATATTGATAAAAGGTGTTGAAATAGTTCAGATGAACTTTTTCCATATTTCGGCCCAAAAGGTAGAATTAAATTTTGAGAATTTACGACTTCAGAATTAGAAACAGAACAATTAAACTTTAAAATACATACGAAATCCTGTTGACTATGGCATCTTCATCTTCTTGTTCATCTGCAAAAACATTTAAGGTATTAATTTTTTTTATCATCCAACAAAATGTTTTATTAATTTACTAAAAATATAAACTTAAAAAAGCAATTACTGAATAAAAGCAATTTTCAAAAAGTAATGTGTTTACTTCAGCACAGATCCAAAATTAAATCTCATTAAACCAGATAGGATACAATATGGTTAGAGAATAGAGTGTTTTGATTAATCAAAAGTTCTCATTAACAAAACTACCATATGTAAACTAAAATTTTCCATTTATTTAGTGCTCAAGAAAATAAAACTTAGTGGACCTTTAGAACCACTATCAAGTTTATTGTTATACAATGTAAATGAAATTGCTAATAAATGAAATTTTCTGGTTGATAACAGCCAAAAAAAAATTTTACTATAAAATTAAAATTCAGAATCTTACAACCCATGTACCTTTCTATAATTTGAGTATGTCATTAGTAACGGTAATACTGAGGATTCTCTCGGACCATCCCAAACTACTGTGGATACCATGGCCTCAACATTCCACCATGACTGTTAAGCTACAGACTGAGCTATACCAAGTTTGACATATCCTTTAATAGCAGATGGTCCCTGCTCCAGTACTCATTCACCCTCCCTCTCCCTGTCTCTCATGCTGCCAGCCATCTTTTTTGTCCTCCCACACAAACTTACCAGCTGGAGAAACTATGATCCAATTATAAGAATATTGCACAACACCTCTGGCCCCTCCTTCTTCTCAATACCTAACTAGGGCTGTCCTCAAAGCCTCTCTCTGTAGGTCTCTGGCATTTTGAGCACCCACCTGCTTCAGTGTCATGGTGTATTTGGGCCATTCTCTTAGTCCAGTCTCCAGTCTTAATTATAGGCTACCCAAAATAGTTTTACAGCCAAAGGGACCACAAAATAACACAGTCACAGTTAATTTTTATACTGTTGTGCCCATATCCAATCACCCATCAAATCTTGAAGAATGTGTTAATAACTCCATATCCATTCCAATTGTATTCCCAACACTCTACCAACCAGGTCCACAGTCCTCACCACCTCCACCCCACAATTACTCTAAAAAGCATCTAATAAATCTCCAAGTTTCCTGCTCATCACCTAATTTCCCCTAAAATATTGCATTTATATTCATTCATTCTCTCTCTCTCCCTCTTTCTGTGTCCATAATCTATGAAACCAGATGCCAAAACATCTTTAAAAATAGCTAAGATACTGTCTTGGATCCCAGGTCTTCAAAATTTTGAGAGATTATAGAATCTAAGGAGTATTTCAGTGTAGTCACAGAGCCAAGTAAATAGTACTAAAGTAAGGCACTAGACTATTTCCTGATTTCTTTCAAAAATCTGACAAGTTTAGGGGCCAGCCCGGGGGCATAGTAGTTCATTTCACATGCTCTGCTTCAGCGGCCCAGGGTTCACAGGTTCAGATCCTGGGCTCAGACCTACGCACCGCTTATCAAGCCACACTGTGGCAGGCATCTCACATACAAGATAGAGGAAGATGGGAACAGATGTTAGCTCAGGGCCAGTCCTCCTCAGCAAAAAGAGGAGGTTTGGCGGCAGAGGTTAGCCGAGGGCTAATCTTCCTCAAAAAAAAAAAGAGTCTGACAAGTTTAATATGATAACATAAGGAATCTTTAACATATGGAATCCTTAAGTATTCAAATGGCACCTACTATTAGCCCGCATCACAGGTGGAAAATCCTGCAAGGATTATACAAGATAATACATAACTGAATACTAAATGGTCTTATGGAGATTCTAAATTCTACATCGCTTTAGAGAAAGGAAAGATATTCTGGTAGTCTGAGACAGGATGGGGTGGGGGTGAGTATGTTCAAAGTCAGAGCCAGTCACAAGGAACCAAGTACCCTCATAAACTGGAATGCCCCTCATACTGAACAGCCCCACACTCTTCTTAGCTGGACACAAGAATGCTGATAAACAAGGGCTGTGGTCTAAGAGGATGACCTTATGAGCAGTCAGAGTCCCTCGACGTTATTCTTAGTGCTCTTCACACCAGGCAACTGCTGGCTTCAGTCACGAGCACACTGAATATACTACCACACTGACAGGCACTGTACCATAGACCTCAAGCACAAGAATCAAAGTTTTAATTACAATGTTTCTACTTGCCTGATTTTCTCTTGTATCTTGTAATGATGAAGTAGGAAACTACATAGAGAATGGCAAAAAGAAGGAAACATATCTGAAAGAAAACAAAGTTACCAGATCATTTACATTTTTTGCATATCTTTTCTTAAATAATAGAAGACACATCTTTGGTATTTATAGAAAAAAGGATTCTATTACAAAGTAAAAACTTCAGATATTTTGCTAATGTAAAGTTTTGATGAAATATTAATTTACATAAACTAGTCAGCCCAGTTTAATTACAGAAAAAAAAATGTCAAATGAAGATTTTTCTTTTCTTAACTTGACCAAATTGTTTTCAAAATCATGTGGAAACATAAAGAAGCAGACCATCTCTGACAATCCTGAAAAACAAAGTCAATGAGAGGCTACTATCCCTACCAAATATTAAAACATATCAAAAGCCTCAATCACATTTAAAGAGTGTACTGGCACCAAAACTTGACAGATCTATGAAAGAGATTCTATTATATAAAAATTTACATAATTGGTTATACATACAAGAGGCATCACAAACCAATGCGGGAAGGGAATAATTATTCAATAAATATACCATATATCAAAATAAAAAAATCTCTTGTTGAACTGCTGTTTAATATTAAATTCCATTTCATTTCAATCAGATCTAGGGAATGATAGGCAAAAAAGGATGGGTCAAGGACTAGAGATCTTACGATAGTCAAAGACCAAGTGTGCTGGAAATAAGGGCTTATTAGAGCTGTGGACCATGGTAAAAATACTTTGAAGATTCTCAAATGAAACCACTGCAAGTGATAAGCAAGTCTAGGGAGCACCCCATGCATGAATTTCTGAAGAAGGGTTGGTGGCCATATGACTGACAACAACCCTGGATCTAGGTGGTGGACATCCACCATACAATGTCATCTGGCAAATGACAAAATGAGAATGGAGAGGAAGACTACGAGCCTCATGCCAAAGCCTTCCCAATATATGTAGGAAAGTGACAAGAGCAATATTGACACTGACCAACAGGAGCAAAGCATCAAGAGCATCAAAGATGGCCCACTGCTGGGAGCCTGTAAGGAGTTCCAGGTAGGTAAGCGAATGTTAACACCAAGACCAACTCCTCCCAAAATCCTTTGGAGTATGAGATGGGTCAAAAAGGAAAACCAGTTATTGCTGAAGAAATGTAAATAGAGGGTCTTCTGAGAAGAAGTTGAAGATCAGGGGGAAACTGTTTACAATGGAATGGAAGTCTGAGTAGGGCTAGAAGAGCAATGGAAGGAAGAGTGACTGGGCATAAATACAGTGAATTATGACGTTAAAGTCACAGAGATCAGATGACCAAGGGAATTAATATTTATGACAAAGGCTGACTAGAGTTTATTCATTCAACAGTTACTTATTGTGGGCTTACTATATACCCACCATTCTTCTAAGAACTGAGGACACAGCAGTAAACAAAACCAAGTTCCTGATCTCATTAAGTTTACACTCCATTAAGAAAACAGAGAATAAATAAATAAATATGCAGAGTGTCAGATGATGATTAGCGCAGGGTTAGGGGAAAAGGGAGTGCCAGCAGGGGTGAGGGGGCATGACTCACTAATAAGGTGACATCTGAGGAAAGAGTTGTGGGAGCAAAGAGAACAACATGCAGATATCTGGAGGGACAGCATTCGAGGCAGAGAAAACAGTAATGCCCAGGGTCTGAGACCAGAAAGGCTCTGATGTGTTCAAACGAGGAGTTAAGAGATGAGGTCACATAGGAGTTTGTAGTAAGTGTTGGTTCTTAGAGGTGGTATTTTGTTGGGGTCTCTTTCGTTTGTTTGTTTTTGGTGAGGAAAATTGGCCCTGAGCTAACATTTGTGCCAAACCTCCTCTACTTTGTATGTGGGATGCCGCCACAGCATGGCTTGATGAGCAGTATGCAGGTCCGGGCCGGGGATCCGAACCCATGAACCCCAGGCTGCCGAAGTGGAGCACATGAACTTAACCACTACAGCACCAGGCCAGGCCCTAGTTATGTTTTTTATCCTGAGTGAGATGGGAAGCCACTGGAGGATTCTGAACAGAGGAGTGATATGATCTGACATATTGCAAAAGGCTCACTCTAATCGTACTGTGGAAAATAAATGAGAAGTGGGCAAGGGCAGAAGCAGCGAGAGCAGTCACGAGTTTACTGCAATAATCCAGAAGAGAGGTCACTTAGAGCCATGCAGTGCAGGTGTTAAAGTTATCACGCTCTGGGTATGCTGTGAAAGCAGACTTGGCAGATACAAGGTTCTTGGCATGAAAAGACAGGAGCTGCCACCACCTGAGTCAGGAAACATTACGAGGATAGTTCTGGGTGGCAATAAGCAGTACAGTGTGCACTGCTGAATTTGAAATGTGTATTACTCACTCAGGTGGAGAGGTTGGACGGGCAGTTGGATATAAAAATCTGTACAATTCAGGAGAAAAGGCCAGGCCGGGTGGGGAAAAAAGGATCATCAGCAGATAGATGATATTTAAAGCTCTGAGACAAGACAAGATTTCCATCCTAGGAAGTGAGTAGGAAGTCTCTCCCCTTCATCCCAGGGGAGAGAAGTCTGAGAACAGAGCCCCGGGGTTCTCAACATTTAGAAGTCAACTTGACAGAAGAAATCAGCAACAGCTGCCTGAGGAGAAGCAGTCAGCAGGTGGCAGGCAGACGAGACTGAGAGTCCTGCAAGCCAAGTGAAGAAAGTTTACCTAGGAAAAGGGAATTATCAACTGTGTCAAACCTGCTGACAGGCCAAGTAAGATGAGGACAGAGAACTGACAACTGGATTTAGCAACAGAGAGGTCATCGGTGACCTTGACAAGAGTTGTTTTTCTGGAGGGATGGAGGCAAAACTGATTGAAGAGGATTAAGAGAGCAGAAAAACTGGAAACAAAATGTTAAGTAGACTGTTCTTTCCAGGAAGCTTATGATAAAAGGGAGCAAAGGGAATGTGAAGTCAAGAGGGTTTGTTTACGAAGAGAACAGTTACAGATGGTTGTAGGAATAATCCAGTAGAGAGAAAAATTACTGATGCAAGAAGGAAAAGGGAGAATTGCTGAAAAAATGTGCTCAAGTTGAGGGGCTAGATGTAAAATTTATCCACAGTAAGGAGGAGGAGGAAGAGTAGAAGGAGACAGAACCTTTGAGTTCGTGGCAGGTAGGTAAGTAGATGTGTGGTGGAAGCATAAAGACATTCTCTTGGATGGCTTCTGTTTTTCCACTGAAACAGAAGCAAGTTCATCAAATGAGAGTTACACATGGAGAGAGGGGAGAGAAGACGGGTTAAGTCACACAGGACAATGGGAGAATAAATGGAGTAGAGAAACACAACAGAAGGGAGAGGACAGGTGAGATGAAATGGCCCTTAACATTCCAGGCAAACCCAAGCCAAAACTCTAAGAATGCAGGAGGCCTGATGGTGCTACACAACCTAAGAGCCTGATTCCTAGATGCTGAGGCAGATGCAGGCAGAGTCCCCCACAAATATCAGAGGCTTGATGATTCTAACACATACCCTATTCTCTCTCCCCTTTACAACATGTACTTGCAAACTTCTACTTTTTCACCATTCACTTACTCTTCCAACTACTAGTGTGACTTCATGCCCACTCATTAACTCAAAGTGCTCTGGCAGCAGTCAGTAATGACCCAACAGCCCAATTACACTTTCATGATCTCACTTGACCTCTAAGCAGCAACTTCCATGTCAGCAATCTTTCTCCCTCTCTGATTGCTCTCTCAGTCACTGTCACTAGCTTCCCTTTTCCTACAAGCCTTTAAACATTATTCTTCTCTGTGATTTCTGGCCTGAGCCAGAAACAGATTCTCATTCCACAAGCTCTTCATAGGTAACCTCATTTGCTCCCAGGGTTTTAACCACAGATCCCTGGACCACTGTTTGAGAATCACTGGTTTAGGCTATCAGAAAGAGTGAGTGCAATGACTGGCCATGAAGCCTAAGTAGATTGGGAGAAAAGTGAAGCCAAGGACAGGGTGACGTATAGGAGGCTCCTGGTAGAGAAGCAGCTGCGATAAAAGTACTTAACCAAGAAAGTTGGAAAATAGAAGGTTGTGATTAAAGGATGCTTTAGGATTTCTTAAATTAGCAATTAAAGGTGGACAACAGTAGTTTCAGGAATTCCAGGGAGTTAGTGCAGAAGTGGTCAATGGGAAGGCATGAAAGTTAATGGACAAAAAAGGAAATCAAGGAACCAAAATGCATGGCATGGAATGAAAAGACTAATGGAAAGCATTAAATGGAAAACATTTAAGAGTAGAAGTAAGGCTAACAATTATAAAAAGTAATCTAAGTATTACTGACTTGGAAATAAAAGCTACCTGAATATGAAAATGAAAATACAACTTTAACAGACGGTTGTTTTTCCAGTTTCAAAGGTGGGAACTAGGAGCAGGTGCTCCTCCTTTAAATGAGTGTGTGTGTAGCAGACAAACAGACCCACAGGGATGAGAGAAATGAAAGCAAGCTGTAATGATGCAGCCTATTGTCCTACATGCAGTGGGGACAAAAGGAAATTCCTAACCAAAAAAAGGAGAAAAACATTCCAGCTCCTCACCATAACAGTGAGGAACAGCTGATAAAAAGAGACAGGCTGGGCTCTCATGGTTCCCTGAAAAGACTGAGCTGCTCTCCTGGCCAGGGAAGGAAGGGCTGAGTGCTCACAAGCAGGAACAAACACGAGTGTGTTCCTCTGTGCCAGGTGAGCCAGAGAGTAGGGAATTCATCCCTCTCAGGGCCACATGGCTTTAGTCCTGATGTTGATCAAGAATGACATTTGGGAGCTGAGTTACCCAGTCACAAGTAACCTAATAATACATTTAAAATACGTTGTGAAAAGCTACTGTCCTTAAATTCCATGTGTAAGATTTGAACCTAAATTCAAACTGGTGCATCACAATCAAATTGTACTACCTAGCTTTTCATATAAGGCTGATGGGCTTCAACTAATTTAGGGTGACTAAAAGGAATCAGTATCATAAAAGAGTGACAGATGTAAATGGACTCAAGGACTGCTACCACCAATACATTTCTAACAAAATCCTGGGAGAGA